AGCTATAAAAATGCTGCATAGTTACGAAAATATTACCCATTGGTGATGATCGGTAGTTTCCGAGAATCGAGTTTTGGACGTATACATCGAAAGCTTCATTATAATAAGATAACAAGAGTGTTAAAAGTTAATTATTTTGAAAGCGGTAGGTGAGACAAGTTTCATTATGTAGCTCGGTACTAGTCGTACGTTGTGTATGCAGTTTAATTGTTCTACTAGGCTTAGTAATATTGTTGACGTCATCTTACTCGAAGTTTCCAAGTCTTTCTAGTTATATGTAATACTGTTGCTACTAGAGGGCTAAATATTTCTAAATTTTTTATGTCTCGTGTTATAAATACGTGCAGATACAAAGGGGAATTGAAGAAAACAAGTTAAGTGAAAGATAATTAGATAGATCTAAACTAAGTGATTGGCAGTTTAGGAGTGATGGGTGATTTCTAAAGAAGCTAGTAAAGAAGTTCAGTTAGAAAACATTAAGTTAATAAAAGTGAAGTTAGACTGCGTGATTGTTAGTTTATCTACAACGGGTGATATTTTAAAGTGTTTAACAGAGATGAGGAGAATAATTTGTCTTGTCAAAGGGTATTCTAACGTAATTGAACTAGCCTGTGTGGACTTTGAGGAAAAAGAGACAATTATTTAAAGTTCTGGATACAACTGTGGTAACCCACAGGGTAACGTAGTGAGTCTATCGCGGATTGTGCAGTAAGAGATAGAGTAGAGAAAAATAATCCGTCTTGTCAGTTGGGTTCTAAAGTAATTGAACCAGCCTATGTGGACTTTTGACAAGGAAAGAGAATTATTTAGAGTATTAGATAGAACTGTGATATCCTGTAGTGTGAAGAATTTTTGTACATGCGTTTGACTTGTTTTGAATGTATTATTATAAAACAAGTGGATTGTGTGCTGTCCCTTTATTGTTCGAATTTACCGCCAACAAATCACAGACACCTACTGTAAAGAATCCGGCCCCATAAACCTGACATATATCATAAACTGTTTATTCTATGAATGCGTACTTTTATAATTTTTTTGACTGCCACAAGAACTCACGTGTTTCTTCTATTATGCATTTTATAAATGAATAAAAACTCACGTACTGTGTTTTTTGTTTTATAACTAACTTATGTATGGGAACGCCAGCAGCTGTAAGAGTTAATATCATATATACCTGAAGAGAGGCATTCACGTAATGAAAAAACCGGTTAAACATTTCTTCAAAACTTCACACCAACCTGGCACAGCGGTATGTCTGCGGACTTACAACGCTAGAAACCGGGTTTCGATACCCGTGGTGGGCAGAGCACCGATAGCCCTTGTGTAGCTTTGTGTATAATTAAAAACAAACAAACATAGTTTTAACAGGTATTATATTTTCTATTACAGGCATTATATCTATCATTACGACTCACAGTAGATACAAGGTTTACCAGGAGACTGTTACTTTGAGAATATGAAAAATGCTGATTGTTTGTTTTGATTTCTTTAGCGCAAAGCTGGACAATGAGTTTCCTGCGAGGAATCTAACCTCAGGTTTTAAGGTTGTAAGTCTATAAACTTGATTCTGCTCCCCCCCCTTCCCGGGGGAGGGATAATACTACTTAAAACTGATAGTACATTTTCCTGGCGTGGAAAGTTGTGTGTTTCCCGCTAACAGGGGGGAGTTACTTTTTTGGTTTAATTTGATAATTAAAATATTTTTAGTTTAACTACTATGAGTAAACGCAGGTCAGCTGTAAGGCTTGAAGAAATGCACTACCGTTTCTTCTAATGTAACTTGTTTATTTCGTTATTTCTTGGACGCTGCAGCGCTAAACGAATTTACTTGGAGGACTAAAGGCTTTATTTTCTACTTGATGGAACTATATTAGTATAAGATAAGGGCGTTCTTTGAATAGCCCGTAAATTTTCTTTACTAATTATGAAACTTAGTATTAATTTTATAAAGATTAAGTATTACGTTTTGTGAAGGATAGAAATATCACACATATAACTAATCCTTGACAAATTAACTTTCAAGAAATCGACCTTCAACACCTTTCCCAGTGGGAGGTTTAACAACAAAAAAAAAACTGATCTTAAAATCTCTAACGCTCAAATTACTGAATAATTAATATTTTCTTGAATTAGTAGGCTTAACGTAATCAACACTTATATTTTTACAGTATTTTATTTAGTTTGAAAAGAGTTAATTGGTATCTCATCTGGATGGAAACGAATTAGAAACTGAAAATCCACGAGTCTGAGTTATATATATTATACTACCTGTACACAAAGTTTAGGGAAGTTATATGTAAGCACATTTATCAATAGGACAAGGTGTATGTGGTAGTTAGTGTGTTGGAGTTGTGTTTCTTGATATCAGTTTGTTAAAAAAAATCCTATACAATTACTAGAAAATAGCTCTTTCGTAGGCGTGTCCTGGCAAGGCCTTATGGTTAGGAGGCTCGACTCGCGATCTGAGGGTCGTGGGAGCGAAACCCATCGTCAAAACCGCTTGCTCTTTCAGCCGTTATAATGTGACGGTCAGTCTCACAATTCGTTGCCAAATAGTAGCCCAAGAGTTGGCGGTGCATAGTGTTGACTAGTTGCAGATAGCCCTCGCGTAGCTTAGCGCGAAAATTCTACAGCCTTTCGTAGGTATGTAATGTTGGCAGGTTAAATACAAAAAAAACTCCCAAACACTTATCATCATGTGCCGTCTTCCTTACGAAGGTTGGCTGTCATGATCTTCCATTTTTGTCTGTTCTGTGCTTTTCTCACTAGATCTTCATATTTGTCTATCTCAGTCAACTCTGTTCTTGGTCTTCCCCTGTATCTTTTCCCTTCTATTTGACCCTCTAGTAGGACTTGCTGGATATTGTCTAATCTCATCATATGGCCAAGATATACTTTTCTCTTCTTGATGATTGGTACAACATATATTTTCACATTCATCATACTTCTTCATTTGTTACTTTGTTTATCCAGGATCATCTTTCTGTACACCCACATATCAAATGCTTCCAGTTTTTAATCAATGCTTGTGTTAAGGTCCATGTTTCACAGCAACATAACAGAGTTGACCATATATAACACTTTATTATTCTCTTCCTTGTTTTTACTCTTGTGCTTTTTTATGTCGGACTATTTTCATACTATTAAAGGCACCTCTTGCTATCTCAATGCTCTTCACTATTTCAGCTTCACATTTTCCATCACCTGTTATGGTCTGGCCCAAGTATGTGGATTTCTCTACTCCCAAGCACGTATAGAAAAGTAAAAGGAACAGCCATGAAAGTAATTTTGTTTGGGCCAGTCTAGAATATGTTGTGTATTTCTTGTTAGAGTAAAGAAGAAGATTTATAGATAATGTTTGCTAAATATATAGTTATCTGTATTTTCCAGAATCTCAACTTTTCTGGTTTTCTAAATTCCTTCTTTTACAAGCATTTTGCGCCGAAACACTCTGTAGTTATAACTGTATAAGCCGGAGAAGTGCTCTTCATTTTCAATGTCTCAATGATTCCATATGAAAAATATTAAAATCATGCTATGAAAAATTATTTTCTCAAGTACTCAAGAGTGCTGTTAGAAACTTGTAAAAGACAAAAGAGTAGAAAAAAATTAAATTCATCCAGTCGGAACTGGACATGGATACGTTAAGCGTCTTAGACCTAAGCTGAAGAAGTGTGGATTCTTGTAAAGCGACAAGACAGTTTAAGATCAATACAAATATATCAGTGGCTGACTAGCTAAGTGCGAGGCTCAAAAAGAGGACAGTTACAGCATGACAACATGCACAGCTGTTGAGGAGGACTTCTCTAAGGATCTGAATGCTAGATATTGAGGTTGTTCTTAGTAGCCGATTATATTCCTGTCGGTTATGCTAAAGTTATCCGAGCGTTCCTTCACGGATTCTAGCGCATATAAATACAACTGGATAGTTATTGGTTTGAATGTACTGCATGTTTCATAACATTAATATTCAGTTATTCCGTTGGTTAGGTTTCCTAGTTGGATACTACAGCTCAAAGCTGACATAAACTATGTGTCAATATATCTTTTTGACTTAAAGTAATCTAAAAACTAAAATATTTTATTCTTCTCCCTCCCTCCCTTTCTGTTTGTATACAGACATTTAATATAAGGGTTAGCATGGCAAGCCAAAATGTGGAATCATGAAAAGACAAAATGTAGACAGGACCAAAAAAGTTTTTAAAATGATAATAGAATGAAACAGATAAAACCATAAATAAGTAGATACACACGTTTTAGGAAACTTCATATACTCTAAGATGATGTTGAAAATGAATAATAATTCCAATAAATTTTCATTGAACATACTAGTAAACAGATAAAATTCAAGGAAACTCGTATAAATACTTAAAATATATTAAAATATGCAACGATCAATGTTATATAACATCCAAATAAATTTTATTTAAAACCGATCAACAGTCGTAAAAAAGGCACGTTTCAATCTGAGGATGATGTGAACGACGTAGAAACATGTAAAGTGCCTTTTTTTACAACCGTTGATCGGTTTTTAAATACTATTTTACCTGTATATTATATAACGTTGATCGTTGAGCATTTTAATATATTGTAGCAGTAAACTTTTAAAATATTGAACAGAAATCCTGTTTAATGGATTATCTGTTCGATTTACTCTTCAATGAAGATTCGAGGAATATAAATACGTGCTATGTTATAAGGTAATGTGTGATACAAACAGTTTAGGTTATATCAAATACAAGCCTAACTGCATAGTCATGGCCTTATACCTCTGCATGTTTTAGTATAAAATTGTATTTAACTATTGCGTTGTATTTTTGTATCTTCTCTTTAGTTACATAATAGCTGAATGATTGTATAACTAATAAGAAAATATTGAAACCTTGTAAACGTTGTGCATCATAAAAACATCAGAATCCTTTTACATCACCATTATGGAGTTTATTACTTTACTTGGATAATTTTGATTATAATAATTCTTATGAAATATTTTCTTTCAGATTCCATTTGAGTGAAAACATCATGCAATGTTTAAGAGGTTCTCCTGGGATAATGGTTCTTCTCTTCTACATTCAATGTTTGTGGACAGAGGTCTCTGCCATGTGCCCCATGCGATGTAAGTGTGACGATCAAAGTCTAAGAGTTCTATGCGACGATGCCAACTTGGATGTTGTTCCAATTACTTTAAACCCAGAACTGCGCGAACTTGTACTAAAGAACAATCATATAAAGGGTATAATGGCTTCATTCAGTGTATATCACAACCTAGAGTATCTTGATGTTTCACATAATCAACTTGTAGATTTAGGGGAACATAACTTTAAGATGCAAGGTCATCTGTGTACTCTCCATTTAAGTAGAAATATGATCTCTTTGATTCACAACAATTCTTTGGCCGGTCTTCAGCAGCTAAAGGTATTGTATCTAAATGAAAACTTTCTAGAAGATATACCATCAGGAGCATTTGTTCATTTACCAAATCTGCAGACGCTGGATCTCTCGCAGAACAGGATTGCCACCATTTCGGAAGATGCATTTCATGGACTCGGAAACATTCGGAATTTGTTGCTAAGAGACAACAAGCTAGATTACATTCCTCTTATTGCATTCCAAGACCTTTCTACCCTGTTAAAGTTAGATTTTGGACTAAATGCTATAGCAAAGATACCAAAAGGGGCATTTGAATCACTCAGACATCTTGAGGAACTATCTTTAGATGGCTGTGGTCTTTATAAAATTGAATCTGGTGGGTTTCAGCAATTACAGTCCATAATTGTACTCAACTTGCAGGATAACGAACTTCGAGAAATTCCCACCCAAGCACTTGCCGATGTCCATCGTTTAGAAGAACTTAATATTGGTCAAAATAAATTTCAAGAACTTAAGCCACACTCATTTCAGAGACTAAAACATTTAAGAGTTGTCAAAATTAACGGCTCGCCACACTTCACAAGTATTCATAAAGACGCCTTTCTTCACAATATTTATATACAAAAACTTTTGATAGCTCATAATAGAAAATTAAATCGTATTGACCCTGATACCTTCGATGGTCTTCTTAACCTCAGATATGTGAGTCTTCGCGGAAATGCTTTTACTAAATTCGAATATGATTTACTTCCGTGGGATAAATTAGAAGTTTTTGACGTCAGGGACAATCCGTTATTTTGCAACTGCAAAATGTTGTGGCTACGAAAGTTGTTAAGTAACCAGAATATCACGTCAGAGGCTTCCAGAAGCGTTGCAGATGTTCACTGTGCAAGTCCTCCCGTTTTGAAAAATGTATTACTTACAGAGGTCACGGATGAAGATCTCGGGTGTTATATAGAGGTCAGAAGACAGCAGATAATTATTGGTATTATCGTAGCTGCTGTGACAGCAGTTGGGGCACTTATCTTTCTTGGAATTTGCTATAGAAAGAAGCTTAATGCCGCTTTCAAGAATAAGTGGGCTTCTGGGAGAAAAGAACCACAGTACCAGAAAACAACGTGCTTGGAGGAGGAAAACGCTACAGTACTACAAAGAACAGTTCAGCAGTCCGTAAAAATGACGCCAACCACAGAGCTTTAGAAATACAACATCAAGAAACAGTTTTTGTATAATCTCTATTGAATCAATTCAGAACAGATATGAAACTTTTGCGCTGTAACCTGTCAAGTTGACTTAAGACAACAGTTTACGATAAAAGTTTATTATTATAGCCTCTACAAGATGTTTTTGATTCATACGTATTTAGCAATACTTACCATTTTAAAAAGTTATGAATTATGAACTAGAAATTTAAAATCATGAGTATTTAAGTCTGGACATCCAATGATTTATGTTGAGCGTTACTGTTTCCTTTCATTCATGGTGTAAGCTTTATGTATTCGGTTTGAAAACAATATACAATATTTATGAGTAGTCTAATTTAGCTGCAACTGTGGATGTTCTTGGTGTAGTTTTTTTTATGTAAACATGCGCCTGTATATTTTAATTTTGAAAACAAGCTTGAGCATTTTAATGTTTTTAGCTGAATTTAGCATTTGGACTTCTTTCACCGAAATGTAATAAGAAAACTGAAAAAGCTCGCATCAGCCGCAAGCTACATTTCTCAGTCGGTAATGGTAGAGGTTGTTTTTATTCGTTGCAGGATTTTCTGATTGGTGAGAACTCTTGATGACAGAATTCCTAAAACGCAAGCCGCACATGAGTCACAAAACAAAACTGATTCTCCTTTATCTATCTGCAGTAAAATTTGGTTTTCAGTTACTGCTCATTGTCAAGTTGTTAGAAAACCAATACACGTCTGTGTGACGTTTTAAAACCGGACGAATAACTATTGTACGTGCAAAATATAATATAAAAAGGTGTTAATGCATTGGTTGATTAAGTGTCTTATTATTATCATTATTATAGAACGTGAAATTTCGAGAGAAAAAGCTAAAATTTTCTACTTTCGAAAAGCTTATTGTTAAATCTGTGTGGAGCATATAGTTGATTCATCGTTTTAAATCAATATTACGTACCTGTAAAATACGAACCTGTTTATCATGCTTTGTGTCTCCAGTTGAAGATGTGTCTTTGGCGTGAAACAACATTATGAGTAAGCTATTCTAAAATGAGAATACATTCTCCTATCAAATGAGGGTTAACTATTGTGATATTTGTTAATACTAATTCTGTTATTGAAACTACTCTTACATATAAGTATTCTAGACGTAAGTTAAAAAGTGTTTCGTATAACCCTCTATGTGCTTACAACAAATTGTATTGACAGATTTATATTATATATTGAAGTTTTGTTGTTAATGACAAAGTGAAAGACTGTATAATATTCATGCTGACAAATTGTGTACTTGTAAAGTAAATAAAACTATTAAATTAAATTTAAGTCCAAAAGCAGTTGCTCTAAAACATAAAATAACTAAAACAACAAACCAATGAAAAATGTTTTAAAATGGAGACCAGCTCTTTCCAACAGGGATGCGTCATTGCATTATTACACAAATATCTAATAAGTTAGGCCACATTATAAATTACAGTCTAGGTGACGTCAACAACTAAAACACACATTAAAAATGTTTGTACGGAACGACATAATGTTTAAATATTAGTAGAGAACGTTAGAGGGATAAATATTAAGTAGAGACCGATAGAAAAGGTGTAAATTAACTTCCTCATCACGACTTAAAATATCATTTTTGACAATAATGAATGTTTCTAGAAATAACCTTTTTATTAAGGTCAATCGGGTTATTATCTTTATACAGAAAGGAGGAAACCTCCCAAAAATGGAAGACAATCTTAGGAACGTTAAAGTTGTTTTGATAACTAGAATTAGAATCATTTGTGTTTTTTTTTTTCAAGTGTATTTATGTTTACATTTTTTCACAAACGACGGAACATATCCATTCTCATACGATGTCTGTTTAACTTTTACGAATTCTTGGTTTATAGCTTTTAGTAAAACAAAACATAGTATAAAAGCCTTTTTCTCAAAACACTGTACTACAGAAACCTCAGGGGTTTGCGGATAATGGGATTGAAATTGTAAGGAATTTTCAGTGCTTTGCTAAAGTATTCACCACCTTGAAATGTTTTCACATTTTGTTGCCGTTTGAGCTTGCAATCATGAAACTTTCAAATGGGACTTTATATTTAGAATCTACATAATCTACTCCAAACTGAGAATGTTAAAAAACGCTGATATTATGTAAGTAAGTTAGATTTTCAAATAAACTCAAATATTCCCAGTTGCATAAGTATTCAACCCCTTTGCTACGGCAACCCTAAATCAGTTCAGGTGCAAAACATTAGTTTGAAAGGTCACAAAATTAGTGTAATGGTCTCTGTCAGTGTGCAATCAAAGTGGTTTAACTTAACTTCAAAGTAAAAGTCATGAAGATCAAGAAGTTTTCGAAACAAATCAGGGATAAAATGGAAGAGAAGCACAGATCAGGAGAATGTTACAAAAAATATCAAAGTTGCTGATTATCCCTTTGAGTATGGTGAAGCCCATCATTGAGAAGTGGAATGTGCTTCATACCGTCCAGTCACTACCCAGATCAGGCCGCCCTTCCAAACTAAGTTACACGTCTGAGATGGGAGTCAGTGTTCGTACATCGACAATAACACGGTCTCTATACAAAGCTGGCCTTGTATGGGCGAGTGGCAAGAAAGAAGTCATTAATGAAAAAGAATCATCTTAAATATCTTATGAAGTTTGTGACAAAGCATGTAAATCATACCGCAGACATGTGGCAGAAGGTTTGATGGTCAGACGAGACAAAAATTGAGCGTTTTGGTCTATATTCAAAGAGTTATGTCTACTGCAAGCCCAACATAGCACATCACCCAGTCAACACCATCCCATCTGTCAAGCATGGTGGTGGCAGCATCATGTTATGGTGATGCTTCTCATCAGCAGGGACTAGGAAGGTTATCAGGATTGAGGGAAAGATGGATGGGGCAAAGTCAGCTAAGAATATAAAACTGGGTCGAATATTCACACTTCAGCAGGACAATGACCCGAAGCACAAGGCCAGAGCCACATTGGAGTGGTTTCGAAAGTAGAAAGTGTTCTAGAGTGGCGAGTCAAAGTCCTGACTTGAATCCAAAAGAAAATTTATGTCGTGACTTGAAAATTGCAGTCCATCAACGATCCCCAATGAACTTGTCAGAATTGGAGAAATTTTGTCAGGAAGAATGGACAAAAATTACATCATCCCATTGTGCAAAGCTGTTAGAGACCTATCCAAAATGATTCACAGTAGTAATTGCTGCCAAAGGTGCTTCCACCAGTACTGACTTAGGGGACTCAATACTTATGTAATCAGCAAATTTCAATTTATATATTTTCTTTGCAGGTTTTGCTGATATTCAACCTCCTTCACACATAACAGTGTTAAATTTGATCATTAGAGTTTTGAATAAAAACAAGTTCATTAAAAAATTATTTACATTATTTGTATTTCATCATAATGTGACATTATTGGTAGGGGTGAATGCTTTTGCAAGGCACTATTTCAGTATTTCAGAATGCGTGGAATAAACATATGTTTCAGAATGGCCATTTTAGTACCAGTATTAAATACCAAGAAACTTGCTCCATTTAAAACTAAATATGAGGATTAATACTATTTAAGTGATAATGAAAATACATAATATATGATTCTGGTAAAACTACAAAAGTATCATCAACGTACCCGTTTTCATATTGTAGGTGACTCAGTGTAAGTATTAATAGCTGGCTGGTCAAAGTTTTTCATAACCAATTAACTATTACAGGTGAATCCATAAGAGTTGCATTAATTTGTTGATAGAATACTTCATTAAAGATAAAGTTCATATTATGTAGACGAATACTCAGAAGGATTAGAATATTTCAACTGATAACTCTGTTCCATCTTGAAAAGATAAATCACTTTTAAGTCTGGATTCAGTAATTTCGTAAGTTAACTAATAGGAATGCAAGTAAACAATGATATTGCATACATCAAATGATAACAATACAATAAACATTATTACATCAAACGACAACACAGTTTCTTCTGAATTAATGGATTTTCTTGTTTGTTATAAACGAATACATCTCTTCAGGACTATTAACAATAAATTCCATTTTATTAATTAAACGTGAAATAAAATTAGCAAGTCAACTAAATCTGTGATACAAAGGTGAATCCACGAAATACATAAAATATCGGGGTGATACTATCAGAAAATACGTCAGTTGTTATAAACATGTATCAGTAAATATCTGTTTAATAAGATATTTAAGTGTATCATTAGATTTACGCTCAATGGATCATTCGCCATCTTCTCATTCAAAAGTTTTAATAAACCTTCATTTTAATGGCTTCTTTACTAACGTAGCTGCGTTAGTTCATCCAGTGGTAAAAAAGAAAACCTCATCGCATTTATTTTTTTATTTTTCAATGCATGTCCCAATGGGGAGTTTCAATAAGGACAGGATCAAATTTTAAGATATAACAGACTGTATTCTAATGGAATCAGCAGAGCTTGGTCTTGTAGGCCTTAAGTTGCGGGTTCCACGGACGCACAAGTATCAATAACTAGAATCTAAGAAAGTCTTGCAGTAAAAGTAAGATTTATTTTAGGAATAGCCGTCTCACTTTTAGTAAAAACTTTCAAAGGATAGAGTTACTATCCATTTTTGTATCGTTCTACTGTACATCAGGAAGTTTTGTGTTTATTTATTCTAGCGCTCTGCCCATCGCGGGTAATCGAGCCCCAAATTCTAGTGCTGTAAGTCGGAAAACTTACTGCTGACCCACTGGGGGACTGGAAGTTTATCATTGTGTTTCAATATCGTGAAAAGCTGAAGATTTGTTTTATTTTGCAATGAATTTTTTAAAAATATATTCCAATTTTTATGTTGAAGCGAAGCTTTCAGCTTGAAAGCTAAATTTTCAATTTCTATAAAACTGACATTAATAAGTAAATTACTTCGATTAACACGAGCCTTTAAATAAAGGTTCTGGCTTTACGGACAACACATCTACCAAATTCTTCATTAACCTGTAGGTTAACTCGCAATAATTTTGGTAGTCCATGCATCGGCGATTGAAATACATTTCTAAAAATTTCTATCCTTTTACACTGATTCTAAACGAACTTTCTTATCAAGACACACGGTTGTGGTAGTTTAGAGATTTTTTACCTTCTGTATCTCGGACTGTGGTAATCCAAACTATCATATATTTACAGTGGATGTGCTCTGTTGGACTCTCACTTCACAAACCAGATTTAAAGGCAATCCATTAAGAAATACATGAGATATAACATCTCCAATTTTGATTGAGTTTCTTCCTAATTTTTTTTTCGATAGAATTTAATTTTTATGGACTTTTTTCAAATTTGGTACACTGATAGATCTGTTTAACCTACAAACAGTGTAAATATAAGCCATATGTGCAAAGTTATTCAACAAAAACCGGTGAAAGTTGACAAAAAATTTTGCGCACGCCTACGCAAAAAGTCACGTCAGACATAAGGCCAATTAAAAACATAACTCGACGATCACCATGATGTTACTGAGTTCAGTGATTATATATCTCACCTTTGATTGTTGCAATTAACTGACTAACACAGTGTGGCCCAAAATATTGTTATACATTATTAACAATGTATGAGGATGTAGAAGAAAACCAACACAGCGATAACTGTGAGATATTGGTTTCAAGGGGAGAATTTCTGTTTCTGATTCTTCGAATAATCTATACAAAATGGTTATTTTTTTATTATTATCCATGATACACAAATTCAATCACTAAATAAATATTTGATACCCTGCCTGTATTTCGCTGATATTTTTATCTGTTTTAATCAGTCATTACCAATATCGAGTATACTAGTAATCCGATAACACACCACTCCACGTATTCTATCAATGTCATAACGACTTATTTTAATCCTGGGTCACATTAGATCAATTAAAATATTGGTTAGCTGTTTCTTTACCAACTGCATCTGTTTGTTAGTTCAGAAGAAAAAATAGAAATCACGTCGAGTAAGAATGGTTATCTCAGTGTTCATCAAAAGTGCACTCTATACAATAAACCACTGTACTAAATATTTTTGGACGATTTATCCTTATAGGAGATGTCAAGAAAACCTTTTCACTTCACCAATGAACTGTAATAGTCCCAGTACTAAAAGATTGTTGTCTTCAGAACAAATAAACTATCTAACAACGACCATGGAATACTCCAAGTTAGCAAAATACCAGGACTGGAAACACATATTTAACCTCTACCTCATATCTTTTAAGCTTTATCTAAAATTTATTCTAAAGTATATTATATATTTGTTTAAGTTTCCTGAAATATTGGAACAGATTGGAATCAATCCACTTTCTGCACAC